AGAGAGAGAGAGAGAGACAGCGCGGAGCAACAGCAGAGGTCAGAGCACATCAATGTGAAACCAGCGAACGCCCTCGGAGAAAGAAAAGGAATGAGAGAGAAATGGTACAGCCACAGCGGCACACGACTGGAGACCTTGTAAGAGATGACTCCTCCTATCAGTAGTTACAGTGCAGCCACAGTCATAACATCTGACGCATTGTAAAGTAGGAGCTGGTACACTGAAAACATTCATTTTGCATGAAAACGGGCAACTGGGCAGAGCTCTCCTCCGCTGGTTTGATCCCCCAGGTTGCGATTACATTAAAGGATTTGGTCATTGATTATTCAGAAAGAAGGCCAAGGGAATAAGAATAAACACGCCGAGGGACTGATCTTTTTGTTTGCCCCGCCTCCAGAGGTCAGGGGAGAGGCTCCAGGAGGCAACAGGGGAGTTAGTCAAAGGGTGGTACTGCTCAGACAGAATTCCTGTTTAAACCGGTCAGACAAAAGTTCCCTTCAAAGTCTTTCTAAAAAGTGCTGCTGACCAAATGCTGCTCCGTGGGGTGGGACAGGGTTTCCATATGTGACTGTCACCCCCAGTGCTGCTGTTAACAGCTCCGTACTAAAGCAGCTTAAGCCAACAACCACTTCACACCGCAGGGCTCAGAGCTTTTAAAGGTGAGCACCCACACTCAGCACTCCGTTGGTCTCTTGTGAACAACACATTAAAACATCAAGAGTTTGATTAAAAAACATCTTTGGCCAGGATTGGGGGTTGGAACACTGAATCAACTCAGATCTTATTAGGCTGACATTTCTACCTACACACTGTACATTTACACACACTGTTTATATACATTTACATAGCACCATTGTCAAATATATAGCGAAGCATGCTGTGTATATATAGACATGTACATGCATATACTGTACATATCCGCCTACTTCATGTATATTAATCATTCAGTATTTATTATTATTTATTAAGTGGCTCAGATCCAAATATTGATATGAACTGTGAGGTGATCACTTCGATCATTTAAAGAGGAGTCAACACTCTTTCGGTTCCTACAGAACTACAAAAACACACAGTGGCTAGAGCTTTTCACAATAACCACAATCAAATTATTATTATTATTATTGACAGCGGCAGGGGACATCAGCGGGCCGAGCAGTTCACAGCCGGGATTCCAACATCACACAGGCTCACTGGCTCTGGAAACACCAACAGTCCTTTAGTGGACTCTCTGGGGAGCTGGTTATCCCAGTGTACCACAGCTGTGGCGTTTGTGCCCCACAAATGGGAAAAAATAAAAGGTTAAAGGTTAACGGGGTCACAGGGGGAGGCAGGAGCAGGGAGATCCAGTCCACGGTGGTGTTACACAGTCATGTAATGAGTCACCACCCAGCTGTTTCTCTTGTTGTTTCTCCAAGCTGCAGAATTAGCATTAGCTGAGTTAGCTCA